AGAGTAACGAGCTCCGACCGGAATCGCACGGAACGTGCTATTTTGCGTTTGACTGAAACCGTGGCGATTAACGACCGCGTATAAACGCCCAAACGACGTGTAAAACAAGGAATCGCCACGTTATACGTGCCGCGCGCGTCACACGCTCTCTCTCTCTCTCTCTCTCTCTCTCTCTCTCTCTCTCTCTCTCTCTCTCTCTCTGCCACATTGATATTTCCCATTCGTAACTACGACCCATCTTTATGTCCATTGCAATCGTGACTGCGATTACGCAGCGATGCGCCGCGATACTCTCGACAACGAAACACATTTAGCGATCCAATACTACGCCGCATGCCGCATCTGTCATCCGCGGATCAATTACGCGGACTACGGTGTGCGTCTTTATGCTGACGCACCGTTATAACAGCCGCAGTCCCTTTTGCGTGAGCTGCTCTAGATAAAGCGGCTGGACAGAAGTCATTGATATTAGGTTAGTTCGCAACTCTTTTTCTCTAAAATACACATGCCACTTTATCGACATTTTGGTGCTATATTCATTTGCAAATTTTATTGAACTCTCTTCAAGTATCAATATAGAAAATCTGTGGAAATATAATATACGAAATGTAAGTAAAAAATGAAATGTAAGTAATGAATGTAGTAAAAATTGCAACAAAATTTTTGTAATCTTGGGCCATACAGAATTATAATCCGAAATTGTTTACAAACGTTATGAATATCTGACTTTTTACAAAAGTCATAAAGTTATTATAATTATTGTTCTTTAATCGTATATCTGGTCGATCTTCAAATTTATTATATCTATGGTAATTTATAAACAATTTCAGTATAGTCCAGCTTTACAAAAAACACTGTGAGAAAATACATAATATGATTTTAATATAATTTTTGCTATAATTTATTCATTTTCCCCGCGTGTTATAGAGAAAATATAGATTTTTCCGCACAAATTCTCCTCAACTTTATTTTGTTTTTAAATAGTGCAAAAATAAATTATCAATAAAGTTTATGTTATTGAGGAATATTAGTAAATTTTATTTAATAATACATTTTTTATAAATTTTTGGTTTTACAAAATTTTTTTATTTTCTAAAATATAAATATAAATATGTAGCATATATGAAACAAAAGAATAATAAATTAAGACAGAATGTCGATATATGTTATATAAAGTTCTATAATCAGTTTTATTATAAAATGTTCTCCGTGTACATAATGTCTTATTATGATGCTACAAATGTTTACTAACTATCGTTTATCTTTCATTGTCGAGAATTAAAAAAACATTTATTTGAAATCTATTTAATATTATTTAATATTATTTATTAAAAGTATTTAATATATTTATTTAATATATTGTTTGTTAAAATTTAAATGTGCAAGTACATTATTAAGATGATTGAATATTAAATAATTCTTAAAAAATATATCCTATATATACAAGCTATTAAAAAAAACGGCTTAAAACTTACAAAGTAAATAGCACTCATTATAAAAAATGTTTTTCAAACACGGGTCAGAAAATCAACGTTTTGAAAGTTACAAATGTTTTTCGGATTTTTTTAGTAACAGTTATTTGTATGCGTCCATTGATCACATATGGTGAATGAACGAACGAATATCTTACTATATTAATACTTTAAGACTTACAGAAGAATGTTTACATGTCCTTTTTTAAAAATCTCTAGTCTTCTTCAAATCAACTTTATTTAAACACAATAATATTTACGTTATCATTTTGCTTTAGTACAATACTTTAGTATAGTCATTTATGATCAGTGATCGCACAGTGTTCAAGAAACACAATAGCAAGAATCCTTTCAATTACGTTGGTTTTTTATTTTAATCTAAGCAAAAAATAGCAGACATGCATATCATGTATGGTTTTGCTAATGGAAATATTTTAACTGCACGACGTCCTCATGCGAAAAGATGTCCAAATTGAAAAATTCTATAATACGAAAATATCAAGCATGTATAAGCATGTATGTAAATGGATAAAGAACATGTAAAACATTTCTATAGTAAAGATCAAATTAATAATAAACTAATGATATTGTAAAATACTCGTTTATTCACTGCACGTGATCAATAGAAGTACACAAATAATTGGCATCATCAAAACCGAAAAACATTTATAACTCTAGAAAAAATCCATGTTTACTAAACATTTTTTATTATAGTATAATAAGCACTATTTATAAGTTTTGGATCTTTTTTTAACACCCTGTATATATAATTATAATATATAATTATAATTTTTTTAACATCCTGTATATATAATTGTAATATATAAATTAACATATCTTAAATATATATATTTTTTAATAATAAATTATTAAGTTAAATACATAAATTATATAAATTTAGAATATATACTAAATTTTCTACTAAATATATACTCTGAATTAACTAATACTTCTAAATTAATTTAATCCTCAACCTGCAAAGTGGCAGAAAGCAACTCTAACATCAAAGAAAGATCATTTCTAACATCAAAAAACATTAGGTTTCGTTGCATCTTAGAATTTTTCGTTGTTACTTCAAGTTGATTAAATCTATAGAGCCAAAATTGCGAATTGCGATATTTCTATCTGGGAAATGCATATCATTCATATCAATTATACATTTGCTCAGTGTTTTTTTTATATCAAACTTAAATAAGGCAATCTTATTAGTGACTATATCACTAATAAGATCTTACCTCGTATGTGAAAATTAAAGTTATAGTTAAAATTAAAATGAAGATTAAAATTGAAGTTATAAAGTTAGTTTATAAGAGAAAGGACTTCTAAATCAATCTAATGAGGTGCCTAAACGCCAATTTCCCGGCGAATTTCTCAAGTCGCGGACATAGTCGCGCGTGAGAAACCTCTGGAACGTCAGTATTAATTCACGTTGATGTGTATAACGTCGTTACGGTTGTTACATCTGCGTTCCCAAGAGAGGCAGCCGGCCGTTAATGAGATTAAAAACGCGCGTGATGATAAAGTAACGTTCGTGGCTTTCGACTTTCGCGCGATATCGCGTCCGTTGCAATAATTATTGCCGTATCGGCGTGATACTATGCACAAATGGACGATGCGCGCGAATCGCATTAAGCGACGCGCTGTTAGACATTCATTGCATCCGTCATCTCCGGGTCGGTTACACGGGCTATACGTTAGGATTAGGCCATCTTTACGGAGACGTACCGTTATAACTATCAATATCCGTCAAGAGATTCCGTCGCGGCTAATCTCGAGGCTAATTTCAAGCGATAACAAACGTGCATACGTGGCGCCACGCGCGCCGAAGATGAATGAGAAATTAATATCAATTCGACATTGACTGTATCTATTCAACATGCACGTACAGAGAACTCCAACAAAAGAAATACGCCAGTATATAAAAACTTCCAAATATAACGTGTGAATAGTACTATTATCAAAAACAGATAAGAAATCGATTAAAGTTGCCAAGTAATGGATCCATTATTTCTTTCTTCCAATATTTCTTTCTTCGAGTAAAAAGTTTTAATAATGGCTATACAGAGAACTCCAAGATAAAAAAAATATACCAAGTACATAAAAATATGACGTGTGAATAATACTATCAAAAACAGATAAGAAATCGATTAAAGTCACCATGTAATTGATTCATCATTTCTTTCTTCAAGTAAAAAATGTTAATAATGACTATATAGAAGATTCTAACAAAAGTAAAAAAATACAAGTAAAAATACAAAAAAGTATATAAAAGTATGGCGTATGAATAATACTTATCAAAAACAGAGATAAAATCGGTCAAAATCGCCAAGTAGTTGATTCGTTACTTCTTCTTTCAGTAAAAAGTTTTAATATAATGACTATATATAGAACTCCAATAATATTTTTCATTTTTGGTTAAGATATTTCAGTTCGAACATGTCCACATATTTTTGCATCATAACTGTTGATTATTTTTCTTTTATCACCAACTCAGTTACATTGAATGTAATGGTAATAATTCATACATGTATTCACCGTGCATATTACTGTTTGCATTTGACTGAGTTACTAATTCTCCTCAGAATCAATTGTGAATTAGTCGATTAAAATTTTAGTTGACTAATAGTCGGCAAATCAATAACCACAATTAATCAGTTGTATATATTAAAAATGTGTTATTAAATATATTAAATATATCTATAAAATATATACTTGAATATATATAATATATTATATATATATATATATATATATATATATATATATATATATATTTGTAATATATAAAAATATATATTAATATATTAAATCTATTAATTATATATCAATTACATATTACTCAACTATATATAATTAATCAAATTTAATCAATCATATATATAATCACGCATAATTGATTGATGAAATTAATCATTAACCAGTGTATAATCAATCAAAGTTTGATTAATAATTAATTTTACAAATCAATTAAATTATACGCGATATATCACATATATGATAACTGATCAATTTGGATTATTAATTTGCCGATTATTTTAGTTAATTAAAATTTTAATCGATCAGTGTCTGACACTGAAATACACGCATGCATTGTCTATTATCCAATTAAGTGTGATCATTCTATTTTGATACCATATAAGCACACACGCGCGCGACATATCTCCGTTGTATCGTTTGTCCCAATTTTTTACAGGAAGCCGGTTACTATCTCTTTCTCTCTCTCCACAATTTCGCGCCGTAGCACGCCGCATATCCTGATTTCGCAGCCGGCTCGCGGACTCGACTTCGCGCATACTCGAAACTCCATAACCATGATTTCTCCCGGCAAATCAATTTTGCGCTCGAGACCTCCTTGGGACTCGAAGCGCAACTTGGCGGACGGCCGCCGGTTAATTTGCTCGCTAGACCATGGTGGTCGGATAAATTAAAATAGATCCGGCTTCGGTCGCATAGCAGCGTGCGCGTGCGCGCGCAGCTGACGCTGAAATTAACGCGGACTAATGGCGAGGTCAACGTTTGTCTTTGCAGGGCAGCGTGTTTCGTCGTGAGAGGCTGGGACCTCCAGGATGCCAGGGGTGTGGAAGTTGCTACGTATGCTGATCTACATGGTAAGTTAGTCACACGGTGACGACCGGCAAAGCGGACAGTTATACGAACAAGTGCGGGAGATGGCGGGGCGGCACACTCTCCACATAACTTCGGTGTTAGAACTTCTCAGACAATTGATTTTGCAATTGACTCTAAAAGGATGATAAAAACTTCCATTATTTTTATACCAGAAATGATCCTCTGGACTGTATAGACTTTTTTCTATATTAAGGGAATGTTAAAACTGAAAACTTTACCGACAAAATACTAATATTCATACTAACATTTTTCTACGAAATTTACGTCATATATTAGTTATACAAAATTACAAATGCTTTTACTCATTGAAAGTACATGCAAAAATAAATAGGAGCATTGCTCAATATAATACAAAAACGAAAAAGAAATTTTAAATGTAAAATCTCAACTGTCATCAAATATAAACGAAATGGGCGAAACGTTGATTAAACATTTCAGATGTAATAAATGTGCACTTCCTTCTGGCACCTAGCTCTTACAGGCCTATTTCGTTTATATTTAATTGCATATCGTAGAGTCTTTTAACTCTAATTTTTGTTTTCAATTGTCAGTTAGCGTATTTGTCTAATTCAAAAGTTGCGCAGTTTGTACATGTGTGGATGCTCCAAACAGAAAAATTTTTTATAACATTGCTATACTATGTAAATTCAAAAGCTTAAAATTTTCCGAAAAGTTTGCAGAAAGATTTCTATACATGTGTAGTTAGGTTTTCTGCTGAATATAGTAAAATAAAGCTACATACGTAAGTTCTGTATGTATGAGAAATATGAAATTGCATGATTATGTTAGGGCCGATTGTTTCAACCACTTAATAAGCTAAATCTCACAATTAAATCATATGTCTCTCTTCGTTTTTTTTTTTAATTAGATTATCAAGTAGCTTAGAGCTTAGTAGTATCAAGAGATTGGAACAATAGGCCCTCTCTTAGAGACAATCGTCATCGGGTTCGTCATCAACTCTAGCATCCTCTTAAAGTAAACATACAGTGTGTAACAAAAGTATCAGTACCCCTAAATAAATTTCCAGGATCGCATTTTCCGAGAAAATCATTCATACAAAAGTTGCATAGTTTTGACCTCGATGGTGACCTTGTCTTTGACCTCGAAGTCATTTTTCGAGGTCATTTCAAGGTCAACTTTTTTTTTTAATGTCGAGATAAATGTTTTGGACGAAAGTTGTAGGGTTTCGAACGGGGTATTCGTTGGTGACCTTGACTTCGACCTTTGACATATCTTGAGAAGTCAAGGTCAACTTTGAACTTTTAAACGGAAATAACCTCGAAAAATGACCTCTAGATCAAAGACAAGGTCACCATCTAATCGCTTGGTCAAAACCTTAAATCTTTTGTCTAAAACGTTTCTCACCAAGCTACCAGCATCGTGATTCATTACTATGCTCAAATAATGTGAGCTTGAAATGACCTTAAGAGGTCCCTTGGACCATGGGTCAAATACCTATCTGAATGTAAATTTTCCTGCTCTTTCCGATTCTGGAATAAAAAATGGGGTTTTTCATTTAAAAAAAAAGTTGACCTTGAAATGACCTCGAAAAATGACCTCGAGGTCAAAGACAAGATCACCATCGAATCACTAGGTCAAAACTATGCAACTTTTGTCTGAATGATTTTCTCGGAAAATGCGATCCTGGAAATTTATTTAGGGGTACTGATACTTTTGTTACACCCTGTATATTGAATATATGTATACATTCTATATGTTAGAAGTTAAAATATTCATGTTTATCAAAGTAATAGATTCAAGGTTAGATTCAGGATTAGATTCAAGGTTAGAATTAGGTCCAAGCATTGGTACTTTTCTCTTAACATTTCTAACTCCTCGTCGCAGCTATCTCGATTTATAACGTCAGAAGCGAGAAATATACACTAAAAATTTTTGCAAAATACATTGAAACAAAAAGATCCATAAAATGACACTCGTAATCGATCAGACAATTTGTAAAATAGCTCGTACACTTTGTTTCTGGTCTAACAATCAATAAAATGTAAAATGAATGTGACACACAAACTACCTTTTTAACCTACATTTCTTCATGATCTTGTTACGTTACAATTTTACAGTTACTTATTAGTTGTTGGAATAAAGGGAAAATATTCACACTATTTTACATATCTGCTCGATCGATTGCAAATGTAATTTTATGAATACATCTTATTTCAAAGTATTTTACCAAAACTTTTAGCGCATATTTTCTCACTTCTGACGTCATAAATCAAAATGGTCGCGATGAGGAAACAAGAAACTTGAATACTGCATTGTGGCGAATCTGTCTTGGTACCAGGGCAAGTTGCACGCAGGATAAAGGGTAGGAATCCTTGAAAAACATTTTATCATTTAAAATTATTTTATTTACTAAATAAAATATTTACATTATTACTATTTTATTTTTCGAAGGAGAAATACAAAGACATTCGATATAGCCAGAGAGAAAAAGAAAATAGCAACTTTTATTTTTTATTTATATTAGCATAATTTGGTCTCTTAAAATTGGATTATTGATCTCATTTTTAGTATTGTAAAAATTATTTATATATATTTTTTTCAAATTTATTTATTTATTTATATTTTTTTTAGTATTGTAAAAATTATATATATATATATATATATATATATATAATATATGTATATGTATATGATTCTTAGAAACGATTTAACTAACAAATTATACAACTAAATATCATATACAAATCTTCAGGTAAATATTAATTAGTTTACTCCATTTTTCTATACATATTCTATTTCATTATACATATTATAATTTCATTAATAAAAATTATTTTCATTACACCAAACAATATATCGTACAGTTACAGTAGATTTCATCCAAATAGCCAAGTTTACTTACTTAGAGAGTTTACTTACTTGGAGAATATTAACACAAAATTCATACAGTATATTCAAAAACGTTCTTGACTGTTTCTAAAACAGATTCTTCCCTCTTTCAATTAAAATATTCTTTCAATTTTTTAATCACACTCATGAAAAAGTACCTACGTTAAAAGGAACATTTTACGATTTCTTATCCACCGTTCCTTTTACAACAGATAATGTTTCTAAATCAGATTCTTCTCCCTTTTAATTGAAATATTCTTTCAATTTTTTAATCATAGTTATGGAAAAATACCTACGTTCTAAAAGGAACATTTTATGATTTCTTGTCCGCCGTTCCTCTTACAACGGATGATACACAAACCAAACGTACAACCAACATACCCCTTGAGCCAACTTCTGTCCCGTTCTCTCTTATCGATCGCGTGCGCACTACTACCTGCTGGCAAAGATCGACACGGCTGACTTGCAAATCAGTCCGTGTTACGTGATAGCGTAGAAACTATTCATCCACCGTCGAGCCGGCTCTCGAGTCGCGCGAATCGAAGATGAATGTAACACACTTTGACTGGCCCAAGAATATTCCTTCCCCGCGCGACCATCTCCCTCATTGTCCCGCTGGAGGTTAATAGTAAATAATTAAAGCGCGGCGCGTTCTTCGTCCGCGTCTATATCGCCTTGTTCGGCCTCGATTAGAAATGTTCATCAGCGAGCGAGCGAGGAGGATGCTATCGACGTCGGTAGATGAAACCGTCAGATTCGCCGTTTTAATAATCACGCCCGAGCAACGAACGAACAACGACACAGCGAGAGAAAGAGAGAGGGAAAGAACGCGGCGGCGTATCGACTACCACAGCGCGCACAGCCCGGTTACAGGACTCACACGGGACTCGTGACTTGCGTTTCGTCTTCTTCTAGCGGTTTCTTTTGTCGGTCAATTAGGCCCTAGAGCCGTGCACCGAGCGGTGATCGGCCGACCACCGCGGCCGCGTAGATTCCGATAATGGGCCGTAATTTCGAGTGTGTTTGGCCAATGGCGCGCCCGGTAGATATCCTATAATTAATGAATAACGGTCTTTTGCGCGTCCGGGCCGATACTCGGCCGATTACTCGCGCAATAGTCATTTGACCGCCTAATATAACCAGGACACTTCCGCGGGCCTTTTGCGGGCGGCGCGCGGCACATGACACAGAGGCTGCGTTCGCTTTGGGCGCTTATAAGCGCTCTGTAAGCGTTATTCTATCTTTATCGCTCGTTACATGCGTGAGAAAGATAGAATGACGCTTACAGCGTATAAGCCCAAAGCGAACACTTTGGCCGGAGAGGCCCCGTTGTCGGTGTGTCCCTCTTTTTCTTTCTCTGTATCCGCGGTGGCGACACTACGGCCAGCGGGAATTCGCGATTCCACCCGGATGACAATGCGAGACGCGGCGGGAGTCGCAACAGCTTGCAAGCGGATATTCGTGCCTACTCTAGGTACCGTTAACCGCGTCTCAAGACCCTCTTGCCCGTCTCGTCCGCGCTGTCGTCACCTTGTCGTTCCTTCTCCCGTTGCTTCTTCTCCGCGCGAGACCTATCCCGCCTATGAAGTACAGACCCATTTCTGCGAGCTTGCGAAATCGAAATTGTCGTATGTCCGTCTGCGAAGTTTTGCCGTGATTTTCAAACTGTGTGCAACTTACATAGCGGGCTGTGCGAACGCGGTCTGTGGAAAAAGCGATAAAATCGACTATGAGCGGCATAGAACCCTACACTGTAAAAACTGATGTGTTAAATTTAACACATTTCCATGTATCCCAAATCATACACTTTCATTTATGTGTAAATTTAACACAAAACAAACGTGTTAAAAAGTAACACGCATAATATAGAAAAAATTAACACAAAAATTTGACACTTGAATACCGTTGGAAATCACAGGAATCACAGGTTGTGTTAAATTGACATATTTAATATGTCAGACATAGATTATGTCAATTTAACATTTTTATTCCATCAAAACCATAGATTAATACTTCTCTCTAAATGTTAAAGTAACGTTTTATTTTAGTTAATTTAACATTATACATATGTCAATTTAACATAAACTGTGACTCTTGACGGTATTCAAGTGTTAAATTCTTGTGTTAATTA